AAAATAGTTGCTGGCATATAGATGATGTTTAGTTGAATTTGCCCAGAATGGTGACAGGGCACTAGAACTTGACCAGCTGGTGCCCACAAGCAGAATATATCAGTCACAATCACCTTCTCCACATACATACTGTCTCCCACTTAGCATCTTGACTCCAATGTTGCCAATCAATCTGCAGCATCTTCACAAAAGAAGGGTTGGTCCAGGATGCCTCAGATCTACTCTTTAGGGGCTAGAGTCCAGAGCTGGTCAAACTAAAGTTAACTTCTCACTTGAGAGACAAGCCATTCCTTTTTCTTTACTATCACTCTAAAGAGGTCCCATAAGAGAGGAATGATAAATATAGGTGCTCAGTCTTCCATCTTAAACTGGGAGTCATGCCACTGAAACACAAAGAACCCAAAGGCCAGCGGGTTCTTCAGAACTCATTGTTCCAGCAACTTTCCCACAGGACTCCTGGCACTCAAGCCAGGGGTGTCCCTGGCTTGGGGGGGGGCTCCCAATGCAACTATGTGGGTTTCTGTGAAGACTTTACTTGAAGCAAGAGTTCCTGTGCTTTGCTGGGCAAAGTGGGGTACACCTGTAATCCCAGCATTTTGGGAAGCTGAAGCAGGAGGATCACAAGTTCAAAGCCAGCCCCAACATCTTAGCAAGGCCCTATGAACTCAACAATACCCTGTGTCTAAATAAAATATATATAAAAAAGGGCTGGGGATGTAGCTCAGTGGTAAAACACCACTAGGTTCAATTCCTGGTACAAAAGAGAAAGAGAGAGAGAGAGAGAGATCTTGTGCTTTAATCTTTGTTCTAGTTCAATCCCATTTGCCCTGTATTATAAAGTAAACAACTGGGCCCAGAGATTTGCCAAAGGCCATAGAATGAGAAAGTACAGAGCCTGAATGCCACTGCATGGTTCCCAGGTAAGAGTTCCTACAAAACTGCTAAAGACTTCCTTGTTGCCCTAGGAAGGCTCTTCAGTTAGAAGTCACACTTTGCCTGCCAAGGGTTCAACTCTAATTGAAAGAGTTCAGTGGATGGGGGTGTGTTTCATATTGCATCACAATTGAGACCACCACTGGTCTTGCTCATTCTTCTACTATCTGTGACAAATAGTTTAACCAAAGGAATAAACCCAACCATAAGTCTTCTTCAGCTGAGAGCATTGATGGGTCACATGCATGACACTTTCAGAAAGCCCTCCAACATTTCTTTTAAGGATGGCCACACTTCCACAGGCCAAGTCAAATTGAGGAAGAACGAAAAATAGAATAGATCAATTATTTATCCAAAGTGCACTTAAACTCTCCCTGAAGTCTACTTTCCCTAGGAAGCTTTGGAGATGGTTGAAAGGGGACAGTTAGAGGGAAACAAATAGAAATCCTGGGGATGTACCTGAGAATCTGAGTTCTAAGACCCTAAGTTCTAGCCATTTTGAGGACAGGATGTCTCTCTAGACAATGTCTATTCTAGAACATAAATCTCATGTGAGATTCATTCACATTCATTCATTTGTAGCTGAAATAAATACTAGGGTACTTTGTGGACTAGTCTCAGAGCAGCATCCTTGCAAAGAAATAACCACTCATAATCCCTGGCATCCCCTCTAAACTAATCACTTCACACACCACCATTCCCCGATAACAGAGAAGGAGGAAAATGATCATATTTAGAAAGATCCACAGATACAACCAAGATACCCTTCAGTAGATGAATGGATATAGAAAATGTGGTATATATACACAATGGAATATTATTTAGCATTAAAAGAGAATAAAATCATGGCATTTGCAGGTAAATGGATGGAGATGAAGAATATGATGCTAAGTGAATAAGCCAATCCCCAAAAAACAAAGGCTTAATGTCTTTTCTGATATAAGGATGCTGATTCACAATGGGGATGGGTGGGGGAGCATGGGAGGAATAGATGAACTTTAGTTAGGGCAAAGGGGAGGAGGAGTATGGGGTGTAGGAAAGACAGTGGAATGAGACAGACATCATTACCCTAAGTATGAAAACACAAATGGTGGGACTCTACTTTGTCTTCAACCAGAGACATGAAAAATTGGGCTCTATTTGTGTAATATGAATTGAATTGCATTCTGCTGTCATATATAACTAATTAGAATAAATAAATTTTTAAAAATTCAAAGAAAGAAAGATCCATATAAAAACAGACCGGGTAGAGGCATTGTTGAAGTAGAAATGAAAATTAGAATGAGAAATTTTAGACTTGACCCAAGGTAGAGACTACAGAGAGAAGAGATGGATTCACAAAGTTAAGTGGCAAAACCAATCAGTAGAACTTGTAGACTGGCTAGTTTTGGAGTAGAGGGTGAACCAGAGGATGAATTTAGGTGTCTAGCTATAACTGCCTGGATGGTGGTTCCATTTTCATAAGGGATTACAGCAAGTTGAAAATTTGAGTGTCCAAGATGGTGAGTTTAGTTTAATTTAGTTTTGTTAATACCTCTAATTTGAGGTGCCCATGATGTATCCAGGCAAAATTGTGGGTGTGGATGGTGTGCTTGGAGCAGTATTGAGCTTTATCCCAGTCTCTCCACTGTTAAAACCTCTCTTCAGATAGAGACAACTCCTTCTCTCTTTGCCCCTGCCAGGAGTACTTGTGTCTAGACCCTTCCCAGATTTGAGCATCTGATAAGCTGGCACAGGAAACTGACAGATGATTTCACAGCTCCTGCCTTTCCATGTTCCTTCCCAAAGATCTCTAAAACATCCTCTTGCAGACCTTCTCAGGACCACCAAATTCTAAAAGGAGTGAGGCTGCCCCATCTTCTTCCAGGCACCCTACCCCACCTCTCCTTCTCACGTTGCTGGCAAAGACACCTCCAGCCTTCTGCTGGCTCTCTAGACAGAATCAAGCACAAATCTCTGTGACACCAGTGAAGAAATCCCCTAGTGCTCCAGCCCCATTCTCCTAACCCTTAGTCTTCTTTGAAAACTCACCAGACCTAGAACCAAATGGACTCCATTGGGGTTACACCTGTCCCACATTATGAGAAGGCAGCCAGTTGTGGACACTAGGACTGCCTCCCCTCACTCCCAACTGAGGAGCTCCTGACATCCCCTTTCAGTGTCCTTCCCTTTCAGAGAGGAAGCCCAGATTCAGGGTTTTGTTTTTGGTCAGCTGCCAGCTAACCCTTAAAAGTCACATTGCTTTCATTTCAACCCACAATGGTAATTTCCCAAAGACCCAAGTAAAACATGGATGATTTAATGGGGTAACTGTGGGCCTTGAAGAGCTGTTTCTAAGTTATGATTATTACAGCCTTGGCTTCCTAGGCTGGAGGAGGGGCTTACCCATATTTCAACAATTCTCCCATTTCCTGCTTTTTCTTCAAAGCAGCTTCTCATCTAGGACTTTCAGACAACTTGCCTGTTAGCCACAGGCAGCAGATGCCAAGACCCATCTCCTCCCAGCCTTCTCTCTAAAAAGTCCCCTGGCAAGTGTTAAATCATCTTCATCTTGCACCTAAGAGGTGGCTTTATGCTCCCTACTGACTCTAATTCCTCTGTCTAATTCAGCAGCCACTTAAGTATTTTATGTTGGCTTAATGAATGATTGTCTTGTGTCTCTCCCTGCCAGATCTGCTGGTCAGTAAGAGGCTCCTCCTACTCTAACCTCCACCAGTGTCTGTGCTTCATACCAGTGCCACATCTCTTCTGCCCCCTGTCCTCCCTGTTCAGGTCCTGCCGTTCTAAGTCCCACTCAACTAAGAAACCAAGGCACTAGGTAGACGCTACCCTTGACTCTCATTTTACAGATGAGAAACTGAGGTAGGTACAAAGAGATCCAACAGCTAATAAGGGAGGAGCCTGGGTATTTGGAGCCAGACTTCTCTCTTCCCTCCTCCACCCCCATCCATCCTGCCAAGTGACCTTTCCCACCCTCCAGCACTTGTGCTCTCCCTCCCCAGCACCAGGCCGCTTATTTGGAGTAGCAATAGAAAGATTTATTCTGACTTTTGATGTAGAGTAAACTAACAGTGCGAAAGTTGGTGTTACATAGATCACTGTCGTGGGCAGGGTCTCAGGGCTATAGCCACACAGTCTGTTCCACGGGCGCCCATCATACCCAGCTAGAGCCTCAGCTTATACCAGGCTTCTGGCCCCTTCCGGGGCTCTCTCCACGCCTTCGTACTTGGCAGAAGGGTTTGAGACCCTCCTATAGCCTATGGCCTGAAAGAAAAAAAAAACAAGTGCGGCAGATTGATCCAGGCAGTCTCAGGAGGCGACCGCCGCTACACTGCACCGTCCAGTCCGCAGTCCGCAGATCCCGGGCGCTTGCTGCTCTCTGGCGGCCGGAGTCGGGAGTCTGGGGACAGAGAAATCGCGCCTTCTAAGCTCCGCACGCCCAAGGGCAACCAGTGAGTGACCCGGAGGCTGGAAAGGGGAAGCGAAGAAGAGGGACGCGGCTGAGGAGTGAGAACCACGGGAGAGGGGATCCAGAAGAGGAGCGGGAGAGCGCGCGAAGGGAACAGCGAGGGAAGAGAGCAGTCCTGGCACCAGCGGCGAAGCGTAGGTGGCTTAGGAGTCGGAGAGCGCGTCAGCACCGCAACCCCTCCGGACCTTCACACACGCGGTCTCCCAGAGATCAGAGCCCCTTCTCCCAGGGAGCGCGGCGCCCCCTCTCTCGGCTCCGGCCGCCCCCTCCTCCCTCCACTCGCTGCCCCTCCTCCGTCCCGCCCCCCGCACGGAGTTGGGAGCGCCGCAGTGGCCACTGCCTGCACCACCGGGTCCCGGAGCCGCTGCTTTGCCGGATCGCCTGGGCACGCTCAGAGAGCAGCGCGAGTCACCAGCCCTGACTCTTCTTCGATCCGACTCCACGGGTGGCCTCGGGGAGCCCCAGCCGCCTCCCGACCTGGCATTCCGCTCCCCAGCTGCCACGCTACGCATCACAGGAACTTGGGCTGGACCCGGACGGGACTCGCGCGCGGGGCTGAACCCGAAGCCCTGCGGCTATGCCCTCCTGCCCCCTCCCTGTCAGTTGTTGGTCCTGCATCCCGGCTCGGCCCCCGACGGCTGCGCGTTGAGATGACTTTCCGAGACCTCCTTAGCGTCACTTTCGAGGGACCCCGCCCGGACAGCAGCTCCGGGGGCTCCAGTGCGAGCGGCGGCGGGGGCAGCACAGGCGGCGCGACTGCCTCGGAGGCCCCAGCGGTGGGCAGCGTTTCGGGGGCCACGGGCGGCGGCAGCGGCGTGGTGGGAGCGGGCGGCGGCGAGGACAACCAGAGCTCCGCTGGGGAGCCGGGGGGCGCGGGCGCGGGTGGCGAGGTGAACGGCACAGCGGCCGTCGGGGGGCTTGTTGTGAGTGCGCAGGGGGTGGGGGTGGGTGTCTTTCTGGCAGCCTTCATCCTCACCGCTGTAGCGGGCAATCTGCTTGTCATCCTCTCGGTGGCCTGCAACCGCCATCTGCAGACGGTCACCAACTATTTCATAGTGAACCTAGCTGTAGCCGACCTGCTGCTGAGCGCCACCGTTCTGCCCTTCTCCGCCACCATGGAGGTTCTGGGCTTCTGGGCCTTCGGCCGGGCCTTCTGCGACGTGTGGGCCGCGGTGGACGTGCTGTGCTGCACGGCCTCCATCCTTAGCCTCTGCACCATCTCGGTGGATCGGTACGTGGGCGTGCGCCACTCACTCAAGTACCCTGCGATCATGACAGAGCGCAAGGCGGCGGCCATCCTGGCGCTGCTCTGGGCCGTAGCCCTCGTCGTGTCCGTGGGGCCTCTGCTGGGCTGGAAGGAGCCGGTGCCCCCGGACGAGCGCTTTTGCGGCATCACGGAGGAGGCGGGCTATGCTGTCTTCTCTTCGGTGTGCTCCTTCTATCTGCCCATGGCAGTCATTGTGGTCATGTACTGCCGCGTGTACGTGGTCGCACGCAGCACCACGCGCAGCCTCGAGGCGGGCGTCAAGCGTGAGCGGGGCAAGGCCTCCGAGGTGGTGCTGCGTATCCACTGTCGTGGTGCAGCCGCCGGCGCAGACGGGACGCATGGGACTCGGAGTACCAAGGGCCACACCTTCCGCAGCTCGCTATCTGTTCGCCTGCTCAAGTTCTCCCGTGAGAAGAAGGCAGCCAAGACGCTGGCCATCGTCGTGGGCGTCTTCGTGCTCTGCTGGTTCCCCTTCTTCTTCGTCCTGCCGCTGGGTAAGCGACCCCTCTCCCACTAGCCCCTTCATTTCCTTTCCAAGCCTGTGGCTATGGCTTCCTGGCAGACATGGATGATCCTCCACCTCCTCCTTAGGGTTCCATCCTAACCCTGTAGGGTTGATTTAGCGACTTTCCTGATCTCTTACTTTGTATAGGGGAAATGAGAAGCAGGTTTCGTTTCACAAGGTTCCAGCTCTTTGTTCTTCTCCTGTTCGTTGCTATTACAAATCCGGTCTTGTTTCCAGCCCCCCAAGACCATGAGAAATCCTTGTAGATATCGCCCATACTGTGTAGTCAGCTATGTATGTGACCCCTACAATACCTGCCATCCTGAACTAGAGGCACAGAGTGGGTAGGTCCCCATGTGTTCATTCATTCATGAGAAGCAGGCCCTGGCCCATCCACTTGTGCATCACCATACTGTAGAAGCCACCTGCTTCCTTCAGCACTCCTTCAGTTTGGAAGCTGGCCTCAGTGGTATCTGTGAGTGTATCCTGAGCTTTTATGTCTGAAGGCTCTTTTTGAAGGAGTTGCAGGAGAGGATTGTGTGGGGTAAGAAGGGGGAAAAAACAGGGCAAATTACAAAATGGACAATTAGTATTGTTTATCGTCATTTCTGAAATTTATGAAGTCAGGGAACTTTCCTAATTCCTTCACAAGTTGCCCTGGGATATGGGCAATGTTCTCAGGGGCTTCCTTTCACTCCTTGAGACCTCTCTTTCAGCAGGGACTAGGGGCTGGACCAGCATGGGGAGGAGAAGGAGACAGCATCTGTGGGGACATTTGCTTGGAATAATTTCCCATGCAGCTGCAGCCTCAGCCTGCTCAAGCAGAGCCCACCCCCCCCCAGTGCCCCTGACCTGCCCCCTTCTTACCTTGTGAGACTGAATTGAGGAAGAAACAATGCCTCCCCCCTGCTCCACTGCAGGCCCTCTCCCCACAGCAGCCACAGTGACCTTTATACATTATGAATTAGATGTGTCACTCTCCTACTAAATCCCTCAATGTTTTCCCACTGCCCTGGGAAGAAAATCCAAACTCTACCATGGCCTGGAGAAGGTAACCTTCAAATTTTTATTGTTCAAGCCAAAATGGGACACTATGAGTGTTTACACTAGAACCACTGGCATGAACTAGGGCAATCCCAGACATGTAATTCCCCTCCAGAAAGGGAGGTCCCAAGGAAGGGGCTACCTCCCTGTACCTTACCCCTGTTCCCTCCCTCTACCTGCCCCCTGCATATTTCACCACTCTGATCCTGTCTGGTTCCTTTACCAAACCCATACCTGACTCTAGACCTTTGCACTTGCTCTTCCCTCTATCTGGACAGCTTCCCACACACACACACATACACCCGCCCACCAGCAGCCTCTCCTGGCTAACTCTTCATCCTTTAGATCTTCACTTAAATGTCCCCTTTTCTTAGAGTTATCAGTCTCAGTTGTCCTCCCTATTTTCTCTTTCAAAGGATAAGGTTCTCTGTCTTCACTGAATCATCAGTTATAGTTACATATGTGTGTGTTGCTTGATTTGATGTTTGACTTCCCCCACTGGCTCTGAAGCTCTGTGATGGCAAGGTCCCATAACTGTCTCATCATGAATCCACAGTGGCCAGCACAGCACCTGGCATATGAGGGACAATAGAGTGCCACATTGTGGTCACAGGCTCTGACAACAAACAGCCTAGGTTCAAATCCCAGCTCTGCCTCTGTGGAACTTCAGGCAAGTCCCTTACCCACTCTGTGCCTCTGTTTCTTCATCTATAAATAGGGATGGTGGTGATGATAATAATGCCAGCCTAGAGTGCTATGGTGAGAATAATATTTCATGAATATAATTGTGGCACATAGCAAGTGCTGGATATGCTGATGCTAACTCAGAGTAAGGCATGAGTAAAGCCCCCACTTGAAGTCATCTGTCCCAAAGAGTTTTCCCACTACCCTGGGAAGAAAATCCAAACTCTGTTGTGAGCACAGGGGCAAGGAATGTCTTGAAAGCAACACACCTAGAGGAGAAGATAAGAAAATAAGCAGTCATGAGAGAATGGGTGTGCCCCCCACCTTAGACACCTACTCAGCCACCCAGGATTTAGAACTCTCTGAGCTCCATCCCCACACCCCTGTGCTGGCCTTGCCCCCCTGCATCTTGTCCATAAGCACCCTCATTCTCCCCCTGCACCTGATTCACACAGGTTCCCTGGAGGGAAGCCACCTCCCTTTTTATATTTTCTTTAACTTCTTTTAAAATTTTAATTACAGAATAAAACACAAATGAGTAGAAAATTATATAACAAGCACCTATGTACTATAACCACCCATTTTGAACACATATTAACATTTTGCCATATTTGCCTTAGATCCCTTCCTCTTGCTCCTTTCAAAAAAAAAAAAAAATAGAACCCAGCTGCAACCCAGTGCCCTCCTCCCCGCCTTCCTCTCTCTCTCCCTGCCTCCCCAGAGGCAAATCTGGCATTTGTCACTCCCGTGTATTTGTTTATACTCTTAGCACAAGCATCTGTATACATAACAAAGTATAGCATTGCTTTGTGTGTCTTTAGAATTTATATCAATGGCACCTGCTGTGCATATCATTCTTCAGTTTACCTTTTTTAACCCAATATTATGTCCTTGAAATTTATGCCATGCTGGGCCATTGTCACAACAATACATTTGAGTGTCTTCCAGGTGTGTTGATCCAGTATCCTGCTGAATGTGCAGTTTTTCTTGGTTTTTGCAGTTGCAATAAGCACTGCAAAGGGCTACTATTGTTTTTTGAGGTCCGGATCACATGTTTCCCTCTTCTAGGAAATCACCCCTAAATTTCCAGGGCCTTTGCCCCTTCCTAGGATCCACTGCTCTTTCTCAATTCCTCAGTCTCTGCTGCTCCTCACAAGTGGCATGGGGTCCCTTCAGAAGCTCTGTATCTTGTTCTGGGCAGAGATTTGCATGGGTGTATGCATATGTAAAGTCATAGAGCTGTATGTTTAAGACATACACACAAGAGCTAAGGGATGCTGGTGGAGCTGAATGGAGTGGTATTGACAATAAATGAGGCAAGAGAACAGAGGACAAGCAAGGAAACAGAATATTCCAATCTTCCCCATGTGACTTGAAGAGCTAATAAGGGCAGAGGCTGCTAAGGGACCAGGAATGGCTTGGAGGCTGTGTAGGCAGGAAATTAGACTGGAAGTCCTAACACCCCCCAGGCCTGGGATGGGGGAGGTCCCTTTGGAAGAGCCCGAACATTCTGAGCAGCAACGCTTTGAAGGGAATCTGGCCTCTAAGGGGCAGGCAGATCTTGGCATGAAGGTGCCAGGTATATGGTGGGGAGGGGAGGATGAGGGGAACTTGGTTATGGGGTCAAGGATGGGGGTGCTCACAGGAGCATGGTGTGTAGGAAAGGATGGAGGGAGAAGAGAAAAGAGAAGGGTTTCGGTGGAGCTTCAGGGAACACCTGCTTTGAAAGAGCCAGAAAAAGCAGAGAGAGAGGCAGCTGGGCCAGGTGTGGTGGCACATGCCTGTAATCCTAGTAGCTCAGGAGGGTGAGGCAAGAGGATCACAAGTTCAAAGCCAGCCTTAGCGATTTAACAAGGCCCTGAGAAACTTAGTGAGGCCATATCTCAAAAAATTTAAAAAAGAGCTGGGGATATGACTCAGATGTTAAGTGACCCTGTGTTTAATCCATGGTACAAAAAATAAATAAATAAATAAAGGTAGCTGGGCAAGATGGCCATACAGGCAGCACCTCCCTCCTCGCAGATCCTAATGGCCACACTAGGTGAAATGAGCACCAGAAATGGAGGGATTGGGAAATATCAGTGTGTGTCCACAAAAGCCATAGGCCATAGAAATTAAGAGACCCATAAAGATACTACCCAGGGCAGCCTAACAGTCCCCACTCACACCTGCACACACAAAGCTAAGTAGAAGCAGCAGCCAAAACCACAGCAGAGACAGTCCTTTAACAACAGCCACCAATAGCCCTGGGGGGTAACAAGAAAATGGTCCAGAGTCATAGAGGGACACTGGCTCAGTGGGCCATGGACTGATCATCTAATGCTGTGGGTCAGGCTACAGAAACATCAGAGAGAAAGAGCACCATCTGTGGGTGTCCTGAAACCCTGGGGACACAGATGCCAGACACCTAAAATCCTGAAGGGCTCAAAGAGACTGGGGAATCATGTCCCTCATTTCTGGCTGCCCCACCTGAGGAGCAACTGCAGAGCACGCATTCCCCTGAGACAGGCAGAGGGTCCCTCAATGAACATGAGACATCAAGAGTTCAATAGTGATTCCAGGCAGCAAAGGTTGCTACTGATTGCAAAGATGCCTGTGGACACATAAACACCCATCACCCCTCACCTGCAGCCCCCCAACCTTGGCTTTCATGCTTATACTCAGCTGAGCATGCATAGTGATGGCACATCCCTGTTCACCTAGGACAGTCCTGTTTTGTGCCTGTTGACCAATGTGATTATGATAGTGCTCCCCGTCAGTTTCAAAGATGTTCCTGGTTGGACAGGAGAGAATATGGACACTGGTCTGAGAGGCCTGTGGGGGAGGGGCTGTTGGCAGCCCTACTCAGGACAGACACATACCCACTGACCTCAGCAAGCTGGCGCAAGGCTAAGTGCCATGGAAAATCACAGGAAACTGCGTAAGTGGTTCCCGCTCTCGGGCATCCTGTAGCCCCAATGTCTAGAGCAGCACAAACCTGCAGAGGGTTATGGGGAGAGGTAACAGTCAGAGCTGCTGCCTGGGACTTCCCTGGAGGATCCCTGAGGTGGGAGCATGGCCACCATGGGGCTGTAGCCCTGGGAGGGGTGGGCAGCTGGAAGTGTGTCTGGTGAAGCCTTCTGACCCTGGGATACTTGATGCATGAGTCCCCTTGCTCTCAGAGGTCTGAGCCGATCACTCAGTGTAGTCATGCAGGTCACCTTCCCTGTGGGCCAGAGAGGCACAGGAAGGACAGGGGAAACCTGCCCCTAGCAAGCATCC